TTAATTCATGATATTTTCTGTGTTAGTCCTTGGTATGGATATACCACCATTTTTTTATCCTTTACCTTGGAAAGAGACATGGGGCTTATTTTCCATTTTGATCTTTTCTCTTAAAACCTAAACCCACTAGGCTGCAGCTCTGCTATATTGTCCTAGCGTATACTTGCACTTTTCAACTCCCTGATGAATTGGTTGGGGAAAAAAAAATCCAACTGGGATTTCCCCTATACTTGTCTGAACATCTAGCACACTCATATCGATCTTTTTAGAAATTTTGTTCAAAAGAACAATCACTGACATGAGGCATTTTAGTTTTGTTAGTTACCACTACATTTTATTATGAAAAATTTCAAACATACAGCGTCGATTCATTAACATTTTACTAAAGTTGATCTATCACATACCTATCTTTCCATCCATCTCTCTATACACACATTAGGTTTTCATACTTTTGGTACTTTTATATTTAAATTTTAGACATTAGTATACTTTCTCCTGAATCGTTTTGCATACCTGTCATTAACTAGAATTCAGTGTTTGTTTACCGACTTTTGGGGACAATAGCTAGAGAGGTTGGCAGCACCAGGAGTGATGGGTGGGGAGTACCCAGCTGGACAGCAGGGATCCAGGGGCCCAGGTGACCAGGACAAACCCCTACTGATGATCATCTTTGCTGGGCCCTGTCCTCAGCTGAACCTCCTAAGTGTTTTATTCTGCCTGGTTACACAGAACGTTCCCGAACTCATTCAGGCCTCGGACAGCTTAAAATCACTGCTGTGCACCCCATAGCTCTCTCTTCTTACATAACTGTATTGTACATATGAAACATTCTGTCACTGCTGTCAGCGGAAAACCAACGTCTTTTATCACAAGTACAAAGAAACCGTAAGAAAAGAAGCACAACAAAAACAAAACAAGTATAAGGAAACAATGGTATGTAGTGCTATATTCTATTTAGATGCCATTGCCTAGATAAAGGGCCCAGTCTTGGGTTGTCCTGGTCATATAAAGAGACCAGGTGTAGGAGGGGTTGAAGTCGGATTAGTCCAAAAGTGAATGGGACAGAGACCTGTGGTTTCCATGAAGGGTTGCCAGGGTCACCCTGGTTATAGCCTGAGCAGAGATGGGGAAAGGAAGGAGAAGTGCACAGATTGGGACCTCAAACAGGGGATGTCATTCCTGCAGCTCAGGAAGCGTTCCCCAAAGCCAGTGTCCAGCTCCCACCTATGGGGGGTTTCTGTGGACCCTGGGGGCAGGGCCAGGAGCCCTTGGCAGGGCCAGGGTGCTGAGACCAGCTGTGCTGCTGACCAGCTGTGTGACCCTGGGCTGCTGTCCTTTGTACAACGAGAGTGCCAATGCGTCTGAGACCCTGTCTCTACAAAAAATAACACAATTAGCCAGGCATTGTTGCATGCTCCTGTAGTCCTAGCTACTTGCAAGGATGAGGCAGAAGGATCGCTTGAGCCCAAGAGTTTAAGGCTGCAGTGAGCTACCATCACGCCACTGCCCTCCAGCCTGGGCAACAGAACAAGATCCTGTCTCTAAAAATAATAATGATAATAATTTTTTTTAATTACCTAAAAGACATTCATTTCCATTTTATTTATTCTTTGAGACAGGATCTTGTATGTTGACCAGGCTGGTCTCAATCTCCTCAACTCAAGGGATCCTCCTACCTCAGCTTCCCGAGTAGCTGGGATTACAGACACATGCCACCACACCCGGCTTACATTTTAAAAAGAGAGTTTATTTGAGAAACTTATAAAAACATGACAGAATACTTCATAGGCCACTTTATACAATAAGATAGGCAATAATAACATACATATTTCTGGAAGCATGAACACTCAGCTTACTAACAACAGCCACACGGGTGTAGCAGTTGTGAACAGACGAACTGCATTCATAAAGAAATAGGTCAAAAAGCAAAATGTATCAGCGCCTATCGGCATGGTTGGTAACTGTGTGCACCCAGCTTTATAACTGCAGTCATCTGAAATACTGTGATGGGGGGCATCAACAGTCCTGTGGCAGAGAGATGAGACACGCCTGGCCACTTGCCGACTCTGAAAACTTCTGTTAAAAAGTCCCACAAATCTCTCCCACCCACATTCCACTGGTCAAAGCCGGACCCGGGTCCCAGCCTGCTTGGTGGGGTATGTAGAGGCAAAGGGAAAAGTTCGCCTTCACCCTCTGAAGGTCCACTGAAAAATCAACTCCCAAGAGGCAGATTAACTAGAGAAAAGGCATACAGATTTATTTAACGTGTACACAGGAGCCTTCAGGACAAAGACCCAAAGATACAAGGGAAAGTGTTCATTTTTACCATTTTTAGGTTCAACAAAGTATAGACAGTGGTGTAGAAATATGATCGGACAGAAGAGTATGATCCAATGCTAATAGACTAAGTGGGGAAACCCAGCAAGGCTGCCTGTCTAGATTCTTCTTGGCCTTTCTGTGCAGCCCTTCTTCCATCTAATGTGGGGCAGACCCTCTCTGAAATGGGAGTCTTAAGACCTACAGTAAAACAAAGTAGGTCAGATACTTTCTTTCTTCTTTTTCTTTCTTTTTTTCTTTTTTTAGAGATGGGGTCTTGCTACGTTGTCCAGCCTGGTCTTGGACTTGGGCTCAAGGGATCCTCCCTACTCAGCCTCCCGAGTAGCTGGGAGTACAGGTGCTCACCCCATCACACCTGGCTGATCATTTCTTTATGGCCCATTTTTACACAGGAAGGCAAGAGGGAAAGTTAAGAGTAATATTTTTAGGTTTATGGCTGGCTTTGGGGAAAAGGGGTTCTGGTTTCTATGACCGGTCTTGGGGAAGACAGATTCTATTATAGTTTCTATAACTAGCCTCATGAGAGAAGGGCAAGAGACAGGAGGGCAAGAAGAGGTCAGAGAAAAACCTTTGCTTTGGAGGCCTTCATTGTGAGGAATTGTTTCCTGAGTCCCTACAGTGGGGAAGTGATAACCTTTCAACAGGGGGGGTCAGCAAATGTTGTGAATGATAATACCAGCCATCCCGGTCATCAGGAAGTTTTTGTTTCGTTTTCCTTTTCCTGTTTTTTTTTGTTTTCCCCACCAACATACACTCTCCAGCTTCCTTCTCTCTCTCTCAACGACCAGTCCACGGTTTCACGGTCTTTACTGTAAGAAAATGCTTCCTTCCTTCTGACCCATTGATTTCCCGCTTGGAGCTTCATGCCAGGATTGTCCACCAGGTGGAGCCCGGTGCCGTCTTGCACCGCTCCCGGACACTGCCCGCATTCTAGGAATCCTCTGTCACTCCCCCTGGCCTCTGCCCAGCCTGCTTTCTCTCCCTTTCTCACCGCTCTCCATCCCCTTTGGCAAGTTCGGCTGAGACGTCTAGTCTGGAGAAGTTAGCTCACTGCCACCACTGAGCTGGCCGGGGGAGAGGTAGGCCACCGTCTGCCTCCTGCCTCACGTCCTCTTGGCCTCAGCTCGGGTTCCAGCCGGGGCTCTGGCCAACAGTCCACGCAAGCCTGGACCAGACTCACGCATCCCTCGCCCCCCGCCCTGCCCCCACGGAGCAGCCCGCAGTGAACGGGAGGCAGGAACCTGGGGGTGAATGCGTCTCCCGAGTGTCCCTGGGGCAGACAGTTACGAGGCAATTTCTAGACGGATCCCTGGGCAGGGGGCTATGAGCACTGGGGGCAGGGGACCCCCCATTTCTTGGCCCAATTCTCAGCTAGACCCATTTCCTGAGATGGGCACAGCACTCTGAGCCTCATTGCTCACATCCTCTGCAACCTAAGTCTTGCGAAGTCTGTAACCCACATTCTATATAGAAAGCCTTTACTGAGCACCTAGGGTGGGCTAGGCAGGCCAGCGCTGGGCATACAAGAGGAAGGAGCCCCAGGCTTGGCCTTGAGGAGCTCACATCCACGTGGGGAGACATTTGCTCCAGGAGCGTGGCAGACAAGGGCCTGGAGCCGTGCACGTTCACAGAAGGAGGCAGAGAGAGGTTTGGCGGTGGGTAGAAATGAGTTAGAATCAGGGTTCTAACTTCTTGGCTCTTAGCTTCTCTGACCCTCAGTATCTTGTGAAAGGGACAGCCAGGGGCCCAGTTTGTGATAAGATGGTGCACCTGCTGCTGCTGGTGCCAGTATAGCTGGAGACGTGACATAGCCTTTGCTGTCATTGTCTTTACTAGAGATAGGAGGAGGGGTCCAGGGTCCCACTCTCAGAAGTAGTTATGAGGCGAAATCAACAGAAATCGGTGACTATTTGGGTAGCACCGGCACCAGGGACAAAAAGGGAAGAGGTACTGTGGGCTGTGATTGTCCTCTCCTGTCAACACTGCCGCACATCGCGTCTGCCTCCCCGGCTCACACCGTCCCTGGGAGGCGGGGGCCTCGCCACCCTCGCACAGGTGAGAAGCATTGAGCCAAAGGGTGGGGGTGCCCGCGCGCGCTCAGACACAGTTGTGGCCTCTCCGCCCTCCCCCTTCCCAGCCCCATCTTTCACCAGAACCCACTGTGACCTTGGGCAAAGCTGTGACTGCCTCAGTTTCTCCACTCCGGCCATCGTGGTGGGATTGTAGAGAGTTGATTTCGAGGGGTGTCAGGAGCGCAAAGCGTCCTACATTTACACATTTAAGGTGAATTCAGTACTACCCCACCCCCAAGTCTGCTCTTTTTGGGGTGGCCAGGTGGGAGCGCGGATAGGGCTGCGGGGAAGCATGGTGTCGACAGAGCGCCCTCGCGCTCGGTTACGCCAAGGAGACATCCTGAGGCCCGACGCCCTCCTGGCTTCCTGGCCGCAGCGCCCCAGCTGGCGTCTCGAGCCCATCCGGTGACCAAGATGCAGAGGTGGGGACGGCCCGCGCGGCCTCAGGTGCCCGCCTCTGCCCGGCCCCGCCCGCGCGAAGGTGAGGCGGGGGCGGGGCCGGGCGCGCGGCCCGGGTGGGGGTGGGGGCGGCGGGGCAGGGTGACTTCCCAGGTCCGCCCGCCCGACCGTCCCGCACCTGCCACCCTCGGACGGGGCGCTACCTCTGTGCCCGCCAATCATGCTGCTGCTGCTGCTGCTGCTGCTGCTGCGGCTTCTGCTGCTGGGACCCGGACTCGGACCCAGCGCCGGTGAGTGAGGAACCGCCTGCGGGCACCAGGAGCTCCCGGACCCCGCCGGCCCTCCCCAGGGACCCAGGAGCCCTGCAGCCCCCAGAGCCCTCTTCTAGCACCCACCCACTCATCCTTCTTGGGGGCCCAGGAGCCTGGACCCCAGTCCTCGCCAGGGGCCCCCACTCACTCGCTCCTCTCAGGGGCTCAGAACGAGCCCCGCCCTCCCGCAGGGGCTCTGAGTCCTCTGCAGACCCCTCCCCCACCCGCTGTCACTCTCTCCAGCAACCCGGAGCCCTCCCCCACCCTGGTCTGGGCTCCTGTGCGCTGACCCTTCACTCCTCCTGTCTGTGGGGTCTGAGGTGGGACGGCCAGGTGGACACCAGAGGGTGAGAGGGGCTGGGCGGGAGGGGCCGGCTTAGGCGAGGGAGATCATAATGTCCCCTTCTCACTCATCCCTGGGGACCACCCTCAGAGAGGCCCCCTTGGTAACCTCACATTTCCGGGGAGCACAGATACACGCAGTCACAGGGAAGTATACAGACGCTGGGAGCCTCACAACCAGCCCCCAGACTCACCTGGGCGCTCAGGTGCACGGTGCACGTGGCCCCCACAGATCCGTGCTGCAGGCGCAGGCAGGTACCCCAAAGGGACACACACACACACACACACACACACACACACACACACACACGACTCAAGGAAAGCTGGGACAGCCCCAGGCAAGTCAGATGCACACTGGACACACACGGAGACCCAGGGCCCACAGGATGCCCAGCCAGCCCTGGCACTCCCAGGGGAGGCCGCAGTGTGCAGACAGAGCAAACAGACCCCAGCGTGACCCGCCCCACCTATGTTGGCACAGAAGGAGTGTTTTCCTTGGTTCTAAGCCCAGCGCCTGGTGGCCGCCCCATGCCAGGGCCCTCTGGAGGGCTGTCCCTAGACCCCCAAGATACAGAGAGTGCTCAGGTCAGGGGAAGGGGGGACCTCCCTCCGGGGACGGCTTCAGGGCATGAAGTTAGGACTGCGCCTTGCCAGGGGGCGGTGACAGTGGGAGTGTTCCATGGGGCTCGGTGGAGCCAGAGGTCAAGAGACCTTTCCTGGAAGTTCCCCGCATGCCGGGGCATCCAGAGCTGCCTGAGCCGGAGATCTGCTCTCGGAGGCTGCCGGGCTGGAGGCTGCTCCACACGCGGGCGGCAGCCTGTATGGGAGGGCCCCTGTGGCCACCTGGCGGGCAAGGCAGACTCTGGAAGGAGGGGGCCCGTGAGCGGGGTGATGGGCCATGAGGGCATTTGGAGCAGGGTGTAGGTGACAGGGCAGAACTGGGGGGGACACTGGAGAGTTCGGAGGGATTGACTCCCGCCAGGCCTTGGGGCGCAGTGAGGCCCCTGAGCTTGTCCAGAGCCGGGGCAGCCCCGGGAGGTTCGAGGCAGAGGCGCGGGCTGCGGGGAGAGTGAGGACTGGGCACCAGAGAGGAAGGTGAGGCTTTGAACTCTAAACTCATTTTCACGTTTTCTTCCTATTTGTTTTGTCTCTGTTCCCCCATACTAATATGCTGCTTTTCTGATTAAGGAAAACAAAACAAAATTGAATTTAAACTTGGTCTGGGTGCCTCAAAAAGTCAGTGCGATGAAAACACATGTTCTAGATAAAGAAGAGCTGAAAGAGACGAGATGACCAAATGCAGCACCCCGGCCGCAACTGGGTCCGCAGCTGCCGGGTGGTGGAGAGGGGACTCCAGGAAGTAGGTGGGCCTGGGAATGAGGTTCTGCTCTGCTGCCAAGGCCCCTTGGCCCTGTCATCCTGAAAGGCCACCTTGCCCTGCTGGTACCATGCTAGGAGGGAGGAGCACTGGTTTGCGAGTCAGAGCCTGGGCGGGAGCCTGGCGAGTGTGGGAGGCACCTTCCCCAGCTGGCCTCCTCCTTCCCACCTGTCCGGAGCAGGCGTTCCATTCGGGCTACTGGGCGCTGCCGTGTGTCCAAGCTGCCCTGGGATCCAGGGAGAGGGCTGGACTCCGGCCAAGGGGCCTCCCTGTCCGAGCAGTGCAAATAAGAGGAGATGCGAAGGCCCCTGAGCCAGGGTCTGGAGGGGAGTGGTGGGGCCCAGGGGAGCCCCAGGGACTGGGAAACTCCCCCTAGAGGAGCCCTTCTTGGTGACAGGAACCCTACTTAGCTCATCTCTGATGCCTGGTGCCCAGAACAGGCAACTGTACAAACATCTGATGCAGCACTTGCGATCTGACTGCGTGTGGAGTTGACACGACACGGGGCTGGGAACTGGGGCGTTACGGGAAGGGGGACCAGCCTGTGCAAAGGCTGTGACTCTTTTTCTTTTTTTTTTTTTTTCATAGCTGCCTTGAGGATATTGATTATAATAGTTAGTCCTTGTCACGGGCCAGGTGCTTTTCATACACTGTTCACATCTTTCTGTGAGTTGAGGTCACCTTACCCTCCCATTTCCCAGACGAAGAAACCACGGCACAGAATGGTTAGGAATTTGTCCAAAGTCACACAGCTAGGAAGTAAGATTCAAACCTAGACAGTCCGGCTGCAACATCCAGGCCCTTTCCAGGCTACTGCCCTTCCCTACAGACCCGCGGCCTCTGACCTTTGTTTACCACCATTGCACCCCAGCCTCCAGGAGGTCACATGTGCACCGGCGTGGGATCTTGGAACTGGCAGGGACTATGAGCTGTGCTGGCACCAAAAACCCCATCGCCTACATGGCCTATGGCTGCTACTGTGGCCTGGGTGGCCACGGCCAGCCCCGGGATGCCATTGACTGGTGAGTTCATGATTCGCCCCAGGCTAGAAGGTCCTCTACCCCTGGGGGTAGTCAAGACCTACAAGGAATACCCCAAACCAAAGCTGGGGTCTGGCCCAGGAAGGTCCCAGCACGTGGCCCTCCCTTGCAGGCAGAGGACCTGTGCGTAACGTGGCCAGTGAGACCAGACCTTGGTGCCAGCTGCCCCTTACCCTGGCAATGGGCCGACTGATTACATTGCCTTAAGAATAACATAAAGGTAACCAGACTTATTATGCACCAGAAACTGCTCTGAGAATCCCTTTGGGTCCTCACAATAACCCCATTTCACAGATGAAGAAACTGAGGCACAGAAAGGTTAAGAAACTTGTCCCGGGCCACGCAGCAAGGAAGGCGTGGGAGCTGGTATTTGAACCCAGGCAGTCTGGCTGAGTTCGTGCCCCCCAGCCTGGGCACTCTTGCTGCCGCGTGAGAAGTGCCTGCACCGTGCACGGCTGTGGGCTGAGCAGCCCTGAGGCTCAGAGAGGCACAGCCACTCGCCCGTTTCCACAAAGCTCGTAGGTAGCAGAGGGCAGGGTTTGGCGGCCTCTCCCCTAGCCTGGAGGCCGTGATTGTCACCGAGAGGTCTTTATTTACCTGCTTCTGCTGCACGCCCTGCGCTCCTGCACTCTGGCCGTCTGGTTCCTGCGTGTCCTCCAGACATGCTCACCCCCTCCAGGAAGCCTTCCCTGAAGCCCGGGTGGGCCTGCCACCCTGTCTGGGCTCCCAGGGTCCCCAGGGCTTACACCACTTACCAGCACTTCTCGCCATGCATGAGTCTGGGGGCTGCTTGCTTGCCTTACCAGACTGGGGGCTCCCCGAAATGCTGGCCCCTCTGCACCACACCTTGCGGAGGGATTGGCTGATGGGCAGGCGAAGAGAATACCAGTGAATGGATGAATAAGGGAGTGAATGAATGATTGACAGGTATAGGGGTGTCTGTGAGTCTTCCTAAGGGAATTGTCAAAGTAGATGTTTACTGAGGTTCTATTATGGGCTGGGCCTTGGGCCACCATAGGGAACTGAACAGACAGGGTCCTGCCCTACATAGCTGTAGTTATAGATGCTAAGGAGGTTATTGATGAGGGGTCCATTATAAACCTGCCCTAAAGGAAAGGAACTGGCTTTATGGGAGGGCTTGTAGCCTGGGGAGGTCAGGTGGGGCCTCTATGACATCCCAGGGTGGGGGCTGGTGCTTGGGCTGAGACCTAAAGGACAGGAGTGGGCATGAAGTTGTCCCAGGCAGAGGGTACAGCACAAGCAATGCCAGGAGGTGGCAGGGGCTTGGCTTACTCCGGGAACAAAAAGGAGGTCGGTGGAGCTGGAGCTCAGAGCCCAGAAGCCCCGAGACTCAGAGTGAGGCCGGCAGGCACCGGGCTCAGGCAGTGCCAGGGGCCGGAGGCGGTTGCAGGGTATGCTGGGGCCAGTGCATGGGGCTTTTCAGGGACAACGCTTAGACCTGAGGATGCTGGCTCCTTGGGGGTTTTCACTCACCCATAGTCCTGGCAAGGGAGGGTGGCCAGGAGAGCTCCCTGCCTTCACCCACCTGCTGGTCTGCCCGTGTGACATCCACAGGTGCTGCCATCGCCACGACTGCTGTTACAGTCGTGCTGTAGAGACTGGCTGCAGTCCCAAGATGGAGCGCTACTCCTGGCAGTGCGTCAATCAGAGCATCCTGTGCGGTGAGTTCACAGTGCCACATACACCACCACCACCCCCCGCCCCCGCCAAGTGTCCCCTGGGCATGCCGGCACAGCCAGATGACTCCTGTGCCCTGTTGCAATAACATACCACTACTCGCAACGCTCCATAGACCACGCTTGGGTTTATCTAATATAAATGATCTTTAACACGGAACACTTGAATAAAAAAGAAAGAGAAAGAAACCTATTTCCTCTATGTCTGGAACAAAAAGGAAGAAGAAATGACACCAGGTATAAACAACCTGAATGTGCGTCAGAAGGGGTCTGGGTAGATAAACACATGATGCAAACAAAACAAAACAAAACAAAAAAACACATGATGCATTCTCACTCTGCAGCCTAAGGGAGGGTATAAGGTAGAGCCGTACATGCTGACCCAGAAAGAGCGTGAATAATAATAATAATAAAAAAAAAAACAACTGCAGGCCGGGTGCAGTAGCTCACGCTTATAATCCTGGCACTCTGGAAGGCCAAAGCAGATTGTTTGAGCTCAGGAGTTCAAGACCAGCCTAAGCAAGAGCGAGACCCCATCTCTAACAAAAATAGAAAAAATTAGCCGGGCTTTTCTAGTACAGCACCATTTGTGTGTTTAAGAAAAGGAAAAGAGGCCGGGCGCGGTGGCTCACGCCTGTAATCCTGGCACTCTGGGAGGCCGAGGCGGGCGGATCGCTCGAGGTCAGGAGTTCGAAACCAGCCTGAGCAAGAGCGAGACCCCGTCTCTACTATAAATAGAAAGAAATTAATTGGCCAACTAATATATATAGAAAAAAATTAGCCGGGCATGGTGGCACATGCCTGTGGTCCCAGCTACTCGGGAGGCTGAGGCAGGAGGATCGCTTCAGCCCAGGAATTTGAGGTTGCTGTGAGCTAGGCTGACGCCACGGCACTCTATCTAGCCTGTGCAACAAAGCAAGACTCTGTCTCAAAAAAAAAAAAAAAAAAAAAGAAAGAAAAGGAAAAGAACAGCACCATACTCCTTTCCGTGGCTACATGTAGGCATCCACAAAGCTCAGAGAAAGCTGGGTAAGGATACGCTCCAAACTGAGGATGGCGGTGGTCATCTCCAGGGACAAGATCAGATTGAGGGGGCAACGGTACAAGGCAACTCCATGTTCTCCGTGTGTGCCTGTTATTTACAAGGAGAATGTCTTCATGAATTACTCGTGAATTAACGGTGTAAAAGGAAAGGAATGCACAGCCCGGAGTGTTTAAGGGTGACGCTCACTGATGTCTGCAACTTACTTTGAAGTGCATCAGAACAAAGCAAAACAAAAATGCAGATGGATGGGTAGAAAGAGGGATGGACCCGATGGAGGGATAAGTGAGGAAGCTGAATATTAATCTATGTGATGAATATACAGGTGTTCTCTGAACAATTTCTTTAACTTCTCTGTATTTTTGAAAATTTTCACAAATGAAAATGTGACCAAAAAATAAATAGAAAGAAAGAGGATGACAGGAGGGCCCCATACCTCCATTTCCTCACCCCCAGCCCCCATGCAGGAGCCTCTCCCCAGTGGGGCCGGCTCCCCCTCGGTGTGGTGGGATGGCCCTCTGGCCCCAAATATTGTGTGTTGGAGGGTCAGTGGCCTTGGCTGGGTCCCTTCCTCGTGGATAGAAAGGTATAGAACTCAGACTGGGCCTGTACCCCAAGTGTCCATTTCCTTGTCCCCTTTTCCCTAAGGCTGATCCAGGCAAGAGTGGCCACCTCCCAGCTGGGGACTCCAGGAATGGCCCCTTCCCTCCCTGGGACACAAAGCCTTCATCTCTACAAAATAGAGACAACCGAGTTACAGCACAAGTTGATGTTCCTTGGACCTCGTTTGTCCTGCGAATGTTTTGCTTCATCTGCACAGTGCTTAGAAAAGCAGTTTGAGCCAGTATTTGAAAAAATCAATATATTTCACATAAAGATCTGAACTTCTGAATATTTAGTTTTCCTTAAAAAATTGGAGGCTCTCACAGCATCAGACCCAGTAGCCACCGTTGGCTGGAGCTTCGAGGGGCTGCCGCTCACAGGCAGGGCCTGCCTCTCGTCTGCCCCAGTCCCCACTACGCCCTGTTGGCTGTCTGACATTGAGGACAAGGGTCGATTACCATATTTCGTATCCCTTGTGCTGTTGATTTTGTTATAAAAGAGAAGTGTTTCTAACAAACCCAGGAAAATAGAAGGCAGACCAAGGGGCCGAACGTTTCGAGAAACGTTGAGAGTGCTGAGCCCATTTACTTGTACAAATGGCGAGCATTCCCGTGTTTCTCGTTCCTCCCTTGCTTCACACCTCCTGCCCCGGTGGACATCTTGAGTTTGCAGACCCTCGCCTGGTGGTCCCTAGCTTCTGCCTCGGTTCATTTCTAGTTGTGTGACCTCGGGCAAGTTCTGATCGCTCAGAGCCTCAGTTTCCTCATCTGTAAACTGGAGGTAGAAATCAAGGCCGCCTGTTGAAAGGACGAAGTGACAATGACACGATGCTTCATGCATAGTAGGCGTCACTGGAGAAATGGCCCAACACCGATTCTCCGGTGAGCATGGCACAGATATAGCCCATGGTCACAGGGCTTTGAGGATCGCGTGAATGCGGCTCCAGCTAACCCTGAGCCCTCAAAGGAGAAAGTTATTTCTCTTGCAATTCTCTTTTAATCTTTCTAATTGCGTGGAAGAGACAACCTCAGTTCAGTGCTGCTAATTTAGCGTTAACAGCTCTTGAACACTTGCTGACCTCTTTTTAACAGAGAGAGCAGGCTTCTGGCTTCTCTTATTTAAGAACAGTTCTGTACCTGCATTTAATTCTGTTTTTTTTTTTTTTTTAAATTCTTTGTATCTGTCCACCTACCTATATGCTTATTTATCTGTAACCACAAGCAACATGTATTTAATGAGGATAATTGACACAAAAGCCGTTCTCCCATCACAGTTTACATTTTACAGAACCAACCCACTTCTAAAGTTAAAAGTTAAAAATAAAACTACAATTAAACATGTTGTGCCTCTCAGGGGCAATCTTGCCTGATTTTGAAACAAAGCAATAAGAAAAGGCGCGAGGAGGAGAATGTATTTTTAAGATGACGTTCTGATGTTTGGTATTTTCCATTTACGGTTTCCCTGCAAGTAAATTAAAAAGCTGAATCAATTTACAAACTAGGAAGTGAGCAGTAGTACAGGCGGGATGTAGGTAAGGCTGGGGTTTGGACGGTGAGACTCGAAGTTATCTGAAGACCTGGACATGAGCCAGACAACTGGCTCCATCCCTTTTATTTCTATTTTCCTTTCATTGAAAATAAACATAGCATAAAAACCATTTTAAAATGTACAATGCAGTGATATTTAGTATATTCACAATGTCATCCAAGAACCACCAAAACATTTTTATCATTCCCATTCAAAAAACCCATGCCCGCTGAGCCTGTCCACTTCTTCCTAACACCAGCACCGGGCACATTTACCAGTTTGCTTTCTGTCTCTATGAATTTACCTCATCTAGATATTTCATATAAATGGAATTGTGCAATCTGTGGGTTTTTTTTTTTTTTGCATCTGGCTCTTGCACTTAGCATAATGTTTCTGAGGTTCATTCATGCTGTAGCATGTATTGGTGCTTCATTTCTTTTACAGCTGAATAATATCTGTCCACTGTGTGGCTATATCACATTTTATTTATCCATTCATCCAGTAATGGACATTTGGGTTCTTTCACCTTTTGGCTAGTGTGACTAGTGCAGCTGTGAGCATTCATGAACAAGTATGTATTTGCGTACCAGTCTTCAATGCTTTGGAGTATATACCTAGGGTTGCTGGTTTATATGCTAATTCTGTTTTACTTTTCGAAGAACCACCAAACTGTTTTCCATAGCAGATGCACCATTTTATATTCTCACCAGCAATGAGTGAGGGATCCAGTTTCTCCACATTTATGCCAACACTTATTATTTTCTAGTTTTTTTTATTAGTGGGAATGAGGTGGTTTCTCATTGTGGTTTTGATTTGCTTTTCCCTAATGATTAATAACGTTGAACATCTTTTCATTTGCTTCTTGGCCATTTTTATATTTTCTTTGGAGAAATGTCTATTCGAACCCATTTTTAATTGAGTTGTTTGTCTTTCTGTTGTTGAGTTGTAAGAGTTTTTTATATATCCTGGATACTGGATCCGTACCAGATATGTGATCTATAAATATTAATTAGTATTTTCTCCCATTCTGTAGGTAGTCTTTTTACTTCCTTGATAATATCCTTGAGGCACTAAGGTGTTCGATTTTGATGAGGTCCAATTTATTTGCTTTTTGTTGTTGCTGTTGCTTGGGTTTTTGGTGTTCTAACAATCCATTGCCAAATCCAAGGTCATGAAGGTTTACTCCTATTTTTGCTTCTAATAGTTTTCTAATTTTAACTCTTATGTTCATTTTGAGTTAACTTTTGCACATGGAGTGAGGTAGGGAGGTTCATTCTTTTGCATGTTGATATCCAGTTGTCTCTGCACCATTTGTTGAAGAGACTATTTCCCCCCATTGAATAGTCTTGCTGCCTTTGTTGAAAATTACTTGGCCCTAGATGGGTGAGGGTTCCATCACGTTGAGCTAATGACTTGACTTCTCTGAGCCTCAGTTTCCTCACCTGGAAGATGGGTATGTGAAAATGAGAAAAGGATTTAACATGGTAAAAGGACTAGAAGAGGATTTTTCTTCTCTCTCTTCCCCTCTCATCCTCATCTGAACTCCTCTCTGACCTCTGCTACTTCCTCTAGAAAAATTGAAGATCTGATGGGACTCTGAACTAAACCCCTGGCTTCTGCAGACTTCTGCTCTGGGGCGGAGAGGCTATCGTAAGTCTTACCAGACATGTGTTTTTAGATATGCGTGGATTCTCAGCCATAAGTCCTTACTATGAATTAGGAGTTGGCCTCAGAGCAAAGATGAATTAATATGGAGACATAATATAGTTTTTTTTTACGACTGAAAATGCCCCAGGCATCATCTCATTCAGCCCTCTCATTTAGAGTTGAGGAGAGTAACTTGTCCCTAAAATGCCCCCTTCCAGTGTGGCTGGAGAGAGTTGAAATGGGCTTAAATGGGAAATTTGCTAAAGATCTTTCCCTTTTCCCTTCAGCTTGCATGTTCTGTTTGTTTCTACCCATGTGAAAATGATGTTTATAAAATAGGCTGGTGGAGTCTATGCCTGTTTACAGAACTGTCCTGCCTGAACCAAACGAAAAGAACCAAAATATCTATTATGCATTTTTGGCTAAAAATATTCCCTTATTCTGTTTGGAGGTATTCTGAACATAGTTGTTTATTTAATTACAGGTTTGGCCCTATTTTCCATTTATGGGCCTCACTTAAATATATTAAAAAAAATTTTTAACCTATAATAATATTTACTGGCAGGCCTTAATTTTCAGCTCAACCTTTGGGAGCTACTTCTCAATTTAAGTCTTTATTCTTCTTGAAAAACGTGATGCCATCGGGTTCCTGAGGCCACGGAGCAGTGGGGCCTCGGGACTTGTCTTCGGGTGGCAACCTTTGCATGTCTGTGCATGCTAGGTCTAGCACAGAGAGGGGGAGATGGAGTATGTGATTGTTACCTAAAATAAGCTGTTTTTCTTGAAAGAGCCATCTGAAAGATACTTGGAGAAAGGAGGCCGAGAAGTGCAGATGGGAGCACTTTACGTAGGCTTCTTACCCGGCCTGCTAGGTAACCCTGCAAAGTGGAGAGTGCTCCCATGTTCTATGAGGACTTGGGCTCGGAAAGGGCAGGCAAGGCCCCAGAGCTCGGACACAGTAGAGCAGGCATTCCAAACCCAGGCAGCTACTGTCTTAGCTAAGTGGATCCCCGAGCACTGTCATAATGATGCAGAAGAGAACCCAAAGGTTCTACAGACTTTGGACTCTGCCATTGGAAACTTTAATTTCCCTTCCTATAAAATGGGGCTGACATCACCTCCCTTGTGGGGTCGCCCTGCTGACGTAGATCACCTGGGAAACCGTCGGGTGTCTCAGAAATGCAATGTATGACCCGTCCTGCCTCCAGTTTTACTGGCCTTCCCCACGTTTACTCTTGAGTCTCTTTCTGCAGGTCCCTACTCTAAACTCAGTTTCCCCACTTCTTCCAGGACCAACAGAGAACACATGCCAAGAACTCTTGTGCAAGTGTGACCAGGAGATTGCTTACTGCTTAGCCGGAACTGAGTACAACCTAAAATTTCTCTTCTACCCCGACTTCCTATGTGAGAAGGACTCGCCCAAGTGTGACTGACCAGGTCAATTGCACGTTCTTTCGAACAGGAAATAAAGCTCCTTCTCAAGAATGAACAGCAGCATTCAGTTCTTTACAGGAGGGAATGGAAGCCAAGTGATAAAGCCACAGCCCTTGTGTTTGCTTTCTCTCCTCATTCTGGAACTCGGGGCTGGAGTCTGTTTGGTTTCCAGTTTGATTAAGGTCAAAAGTCCTGAGCCTATTTAATAAAATCATGACTGTATTTATGACTGTGTTGGGTTTGGTCCCATTTTTGAGGTTCAACCTTTACGAAAAGTTGGTCTTTGTCTTCTAGCCTGCTGTTGCTGGCCAGTAGTCAAATGTGAACAAACACCTACTGTGCGCCTGGTCACGTTCTGGGTTCTGGGTTGCAGCAGTAAACAAGATGGTGGTCACATGACACCCACCCTTGTGAAGTTCAAGTCTAGTAGCTGTTAGGTTAAGAAAGGGTATTCCCCATCCCACTCTATTTTCAATTGTTAAAATTTATTTCCCGATTATGAAAGAAGTATATGCTCATTGCTTTAAAAAAGAAAAAAAAAAAAAAGGAAAATACAGAGAAACATGGAGCAGGAAAAAAAAACTCACTACAATGCCTACAATCCAGAATAATCCGTTAGCATCCAGCAGTCTTTTCTACAGTTTTAAAAATGTTGAGATTATATCATGTTGATTTTCATAAGATTTTCTCCATGTCATTAAACATCTTCAGAAACTTTATTTCAAATAGATGTACCAGATACTATTTTATAGAGTAATAACTTTTGGATATTGGAGATATTTCCTGTTTTTATCAATTGCTGTAATAGATGCTTAGAAATAAATCTTTGCCACCTCCTACCTCTACAGCATATTTATTTATATTCCTTGTAGCCCAGAGTTGCAGAAATGGCCATTTTTGGATTAACGGGTCTGAGTATTTAAGTAGACACTGACACCCTCTTCCGGTGCACCCAAGCCTGCTATGATTGGCAGAGGGTCCACGGGAGGCGAGAGACAGCCGTGGCCCTGGACTGGGGTGAGTGTGCCCATCCCTCCTGCTGGCCGGAAGCAGCGAGAGTCCAGCCCAGCCTGTTTGCCATCAGCCAAGCCTCCCTTGCCCTCCTTCCCTGTGCAGACCTGGGTATATTACTCATCCTTGATGCAGGGTGTGGGGGCAGGTGAGGACAGTGTGGGAGGCCACAGGTAGGGGTGGGCAGCACTGGCCTGGAGTCTGGCAGCCTGTGGGTGGCTCAGGCCCCGCTCTGCCAATGCCAGCCAGCACCGGCACCGTGACCTTTGCCAGCCAGCCTCCATCTCCTCATCCGGAGAGGAGGAGGTCCCTGGCAACCCCGCAAGGCATGAGACCAGCATGTACAAACACCTCGGTGTCCCCAGACCCACAGTGCCATCAGTGTCTCTGGCAGGTTATGAGTGTTAAATAGGTAAAGCCAGGCAGGCCTGGGGCCTCACAAGCAAACTCAAGGAGGAAGAAAAACACTCTCCCTCCTTTCCCTTCTCATCCCTTAGGTGGCTCCGTGGCTCAATGCCTGCGTCAGGCTGGGAGACTTAAGCATGGCTAACAGATTATACTGGGCAACGCAGATTTTTTTTTTTTTTTTTTTATTATACTGGGCAACGCAGATTTTTTTTTTTTTTTTTTTAAACAACCAGTTTTTCTATATGGAGAGAGGTTTTATCTATATAAAAAAATCTTTATTTCAAGTAATTTCTTCAAACTTTCAGATGCAAAGTTTGAATAAAATCTTCACTCAAAGATACAAAGGGTTAATGAATGGTACATGGAGTCACAAAAGAACACTTTGGATGCAAACTTATCTCTGGCCAGTCTCCAGAGAGATGCCATCTCACACCTGCTGTTGTCACACTGGAAGGAAATGAAAGGCCATAGTTCAGCTCGTGCCATAATTAGAATCACAGCGCTTGGTGCGATTATACTTGCTATTTTATACATCAGGACAGGACAATGAAGATTATACAGTGTGAGGTCAATTTACAAAATGTTTCCTTGAACAAAAAGGACTATCCTGGAATTTATTTTACAGATTAAATTCTTAAAAACAAAACAAAACAAAAACCCTAATGTAAGTTTTACGTAGCACTGAGGCAGCTGATGGGAATTAGCCCCCACGAACGCCTCACATCCCACTCATCTCCATGCTCAGAGACAGGCATCCAGACTTTCAATGATTCCAAAAAAAAGAAAAAATTCCCCAGAGACTACAAGCCTAACCATCATTCCAGTCTCAAACTGAATCCTTTCAGAGGCTTTACTCCGAAACCTAGCAACTCTTCAATGACACAGAACTGTTCACTGACTTCTGGGTTTTCCTCTGCACTTTTTATGTGAAACTGTCTATGCCTATGACAAAATTTTATCCTTGTTTTCCTAAACTTGACTTATAGGACAGGCCTGGTCGCAGCAAGCCTGGTCTTAGGCGCTGGGAGCTTCTGTCAGTTCCTGAGGTTGCGGCAGGGGGCAGCCGACGTGGCCGCCTTCCGATGTCGTCCATACCACAATCCTCTGGGGACCCGGAGTCTTGCCGGTTGCCATGGACTGAGCCTCCCAAGTCCCTGTGAGGAAGGTGGCCGGGTGGAAGGGCTGCTCCTGTGTCGGCCAAACAGACTGTCCTCCCCGCACTGGGCTGTCAGTCCCTGCTGCCATGTGGCGCAGGCAGAGGGTGGGGAGGACCTGGCTGGAGCCTTCTGACACACAAAACAGCACCTTGCTTTGCTAGGGGTAGAAAGTGGGAAGTCCGCTCCCTGCCTCAGCTCTCGTAAGCATCACAGCTCAGACGTCAGGGAGACCAGAAGAGCCTCTCAGAGCCTGGGCAGTGCCAGTCACAACACCTGAGTTTCCAGCCGCCGGACTTCCTTGACCACGAGATCAATGTTAATAATTGGGTTAAAGTACAGCGCCCAGTAAAACAGACAGTTGCAGACAAACTGAGGAATGAGGGGCCAGAACATGGCCACAAAAAGCCCCTGTGTTGATACTTTCCAGAAATGGCTCCACATCCTCTGAGGCACAGTCCTGAAAAAGGAAGAGAAGCGGTTCAAAGGCAGAACTGGGGTGGCGTTTCTAATGACGCTGCCCCAGTGCACAGACCCCAGGCCTTTCCCCACTGCCTCCAGTGTGGCTGTCTGCACTGCAAAGACCTCGTCTCTGCCCCCAGGGCTGGGGAAAGCTTTGCCTGACCATCCCATCATCGACTCCCAGGACACAGCCCAGAGGGTCCCTCCGCAGGCACTATGGCCTGTCCCCACGCCCAGCGAGGCCTCACTATTCCAGCCCCAACCCCACTTACACATCCTTTTTTATCATACAGATTTTCTCTGCTAGGCTACAGGCCCTCAGAGACTGTCTTCTTTCCCAGAAGATCTGCCGTAACCAGCAGTGAGCCAGGGGTACAGTAAGGGCATGGATATGTCTGTTCTGTCCATGAATAAATGAGTTTGCTGAATCCAAACAAATGAGGGAGGTTTCTGTTGGGTTCTCGGAACTATTTATAAGGCTGTGAGTCACAGGATGTCAAGAGGAAAGGCTGCTGGTGTGGTGGCAGTGTTACCTGCTCAGCCACCAACCCCTTCTAGAAAGAGCTTCTAAGTTTTCCTTCGAGGATTCTCCCTCCCTTATCCTTTTCCATGTGGTCCAGCCCCTGACTATGGGGTGAGCCCAGGCCTCGAGCCTGGCTGAGAACAGCCTTGCACACCCTGGCATGGAGCAATGGGTTTGGCGGGCAAGTGACCCAGGGTGGGCCAATCAGAACAAAGGCATGTGAGTCCTGAGACTGTTACAAGTGCTACGGGGAAAGAAGTGCTTTCTTTCCACCAGGTTTGCTAAGCTGCTCAGATGGAAGCCTGGCACGGTCAAAACCCCCACATGAAGACAGCTGCCTGAGGCCGGACACAGGAGAGAACAGCACTGTGAGAGGGAGAGAAAGAGTCGGTCCTAATGATAGCATTTGGGTCCCTGAGTCCAGCAACGCTAAAGCCTTAACTAGGCAGTTCCTTTTTAGTAAAACCAGTTTAGGTTGGTTTCTGTAACTTGCAACCAGCACTCCTGAGTCAGAGACTATCTAGCCTAATGTGCTCATTTTATGCATTAATCAGAGAAGTTATTACTGTCCCAGATGGTGGCAGACCAGAATTAGAACTCATGACTACAGAATTCCCCATCAGATCTCTTTATGCTCTGCCATACTGCTGTTTTCCATAAAGGACCTTTTCTTCTCACTTGCTTATTACTTGATTATTAAAATCCCTTGTTGCCTATCCCCCAAATTAAATGGTATATTATTACATAGAGATAAGATATAGGGAAACACTTTAACAAGGAGCACCATGAAATGTTCCCCTTTTCAAACACAAGGTAATGTTCCTATTCTCTGCTTATGTGCTGTTTCTCAAACCAGAGACTGAAGGGTCTTGGTAGACAAAGGACTTATTTCCTTTTCCAGCTTGAGGTATATTACAAAGAGGACCTTTCCCCCACTTGGTATTTCTTTCCCAGCCCCTGTTGCTCCAACCGTCTCCTAATAAAAGCACACTTACTTCAGTTCGCTTCTTGACCAGATTCTCCAAAAGGAGAATAATTCCAGGACTGAGAGTAACATGGCATTGACGATGAGAAACCGTGACGTCCAGTAATGGACCTCCAGCCAGTCCCAAGCAAATTCAGCAATCAGCTGGTATGGAAGGAAGGAGTATTTGACAAGGAATTCTCTCCACTGCTTCCACGTGGGCTCCCTAAGATCCTTGAAAAAGAACACACAGACACAAAAAATAATGGAGACTGACTTTTATACAAGATGCTGTGATCATCCCAGTGAGTTTTACATTTATGAAAATACACACACATACACATATATCCAGCAACCTAAAATGAAATTTCCATCCATCATCTCATCTTATAATAATTAATCTTAAATTTGATAAATGTTACCACAAAAGTTTGGATTGGAATGCCTGCCACACAATTGTGGAAGCTGAGAAGCAAAAAGCTAAGCATGAAATATGAATAAGGGGACTGGAATGAATTTAAATTAAGCAGGGTTTTATTATTTATTAGTAACCTTCACTGCATGGGTAGCTCAAGCCATTCCCTAAATTCAACATCTTAGCTGTGCTAGAACGATGACAGTTTGTGGGGAAATGGCACACATACACACTCCCCTCGAAAAAAGTAATTTTTTGTGGTGGTGATGGGGTAAGTTTTTCAACTACAGATATCAGCATATAAAAATGTTAGCCCGATGAGCGGCAGAGGCTGCTGGGGCTTGTTGACATGGAAAGGTTGGGGCCTCTGCATTGCGGGTCTGGCAAGGCAAGTAACAACTGGAAACCGGGTGATCAGAGGCTCACTGTGCAGGGGGCCGATTAGCAGGCTTTAAACCACATTCAAGGTTAAAGTCAGTTAGGCAGGTATTTAACTATATTGTTTAAAAAGAGTCTTTGGAGATTTAGAAATTCCATTTTAATATTTATAGGTATAGATTACATAGGAGATTCCCACATCCATGTGACTTTTTGATATAAACAGGTCAGAAGGACGGGCCCCAAGAGTAGCAAAACAAAGGCTATTATGGTCAAATGACCTACTAGACACAGAGAAATCCGCCCCCCACCCCAGTGAATATGGCCCACCGACAACGTGAAGGAATCCACGGGTCAAACTGGAGAAAGGCGCCACGGTGGATAACCACCGTGCGAACAGCCCTGCGCCAGCTGACGTCCATTGGACAGTGATGGGTACTAACCCTGCCGCGGCAGGACAAGTAGCCGTGCTTTGTGAGTCCTGTTAAGAGGCAGATTACCAACTGGAAGGCCCATAAATCTAATCCTTTAGGGCAATCTGGACCTATATTCTTTTATGACAAAAGCATTTTTTTCTTTTTATAACATTTCAAGTCCAGAGGGTAGCCCCTCTTGCTATGTAATGCAGGAATCAAAATGGGCTTCTAGGAGTGGGGACGGTCATGCTTTATTTTCTTCTGCAGCAAGCTCTCCCTGCAAAATTCACACGAAGGCTGGATGTTTTCTACTCTCCATGACAGGCTACAGCCACGTCTCCATTTCCACACCACACCAAGGGATGGCCGAATATTCTATTCCAGGCATTCTGCAGACCTACCAGAAGCTTGGTGATGATGTCCTCCCCAGAGCTGTCTTCCTGCAGAGGGCAGATGGTGTGGATGAAGGGCAGGAAGGTGTCTGTATAGTCAAACAGGTACAGGTACAGCAGACCAAGTCTGGGGGAGCTCTTGAGGGCATACAGCAGGAACAGGGACCTGCCTGGGTTCACGGCCTGCAGAGGACGAGGCAAGCACAGGGCCACGTTACAACTGTGGCGGCCAGCTCCCCACCAAGCTCCTTCCAACCTCCCGCTCTCTGCCGTCACCCTTCTTGCATGGTGTGCACAAACAATGCATGGATGAATAGCAGGAAGAGGCCAGGTCATCCATATGCTATGCTATATTCTACAAATCAGGTGTGGGGAGCGGGTGGAGGGGTACAGATGAAGTAAAGATGGCCATGAGTTGTAACCATGGAAACTATGAGTACAATCACCCCTCTATTTTTGTACATATCTCAAATTTTTTATAGCAAAAGATTTAAATTAAAAAGATTCAACTTGTGAAATGGCTGATTCCAAGCCTGGGACAAGAAAGGTATAAGAATAACTTGAACATCTTGACAAATGAGAAAGGAAACTATCAAAGACTAATGAGGTCATGTCAAAAGGACTCACCAGCAAGTACATTATGCCTCAATTCAAAAGTTAAAGTTTATAATGCAATACAAATAAATCTACCATTTGATCCAGTAATCCCATTACTGGGCATCTACCCAAAAGAACAAAAGACACTCTATGAAAAAGACACCTGCACTTGAATGTTTATAGCAGCACAATTCACAATTGCAAAGATGTGGAAACAATCCAAGTGCCCATCAATACATGAGTGGATTAATAAAATGTGGTATATGTATACCATGGAGTACTATTCAGCTATAAGAAACAATGGTGATATAGCACCCCTTGTATTTTCCTGGATGGAAAAACAAGCACCACATGTACTTACCAGCAAATTGGTATTAACTGATCAACACCTAAGTGGACATATAGGAATAACATTTATCGGGCATTGGGCAGATGGGAGCGAGGAGGAGGGGATGAGTGTATATATACATAATGAGTATGATGCGCACCATATGTGGGATGGACACGCTTGAAGCTCTGACTCTGGGGGGGAAGGCAACACACATAACCTAAACATTTGTACCCCCATAATATGCTGGAAAAAAAAATCTAAAAAAAAAAAAAAGTAAAGTTTAAAAAATGGACTCAGAAAATAATGTGAGGAGGCTCCTACTCAAAAAAGGACAATTTGGCTGGACATGGTAGCTCATGTCTGTAATCCTAGCACTCTGGGAGGCCGAGGCAGGCAGATCTTTTGAGCTCAGGAGTTCGAGACCAGCCTGAGCAAAAGTGAGAAACTGTCTCTCCTAAAAATAGAAAGAAATTATCTGGACAACTAAAAATATATATAGAAAAAATTAGCTGGCCGTGGTGGCACATGCCTGTAGTCCCAGCTACTTGGGAGGCTGAGGCAGAAGGATCACTTGAGCCTAAGAGTTTGAGGTTGCTGTGAGCTAGGCTGATGCCACAGCACTCTAGCTGGGGCAACAGAGTGAGACTCTGTTTCAAAAAAAATAAGGACAATTGAGCATCAATCAGAATAATAACTAAAGCATACTGAAACACATTAAGAATGTAAAATCTTCAGTTAACAATCCTAAAGATCCACTTGGCTACCTTCAGAGGGTAATAGGGAAAACGTCACTATCCTGAAACTGATAAATAAAGGGAAAGAATCAAGCAATTAAGCTGCCTTTCCTGTATAGACTGTACTCAGGGTGATTACATGATGATGGAAAAGCCCCTGTTTTTAAGATTTATTTCAGCTAATAAGTGAAGAAGGAGAGAGACAATTACATCACCATTTTGCAACCCCTAATGAACCAATGGATCTAAACAATGATCACAGTGACTGCTGCCGTCAGAAAAAGGGAGACCATTGGATGTTATGAGCCTCTTACTGGAAGAAAACAGCAGCACCTAGGAAATAGTCCTGCCAAAACATCACACCTGAACCAAAGCAAGTCTCTAGATCTAACTGCTAGACTCCCTGATATACAGGGGACAGAGGGACTGCTAGGGGATACCTCAGAGACAACAGCATAATTCCAAAATGTGGGAAAACTCTACAGGACAAAATAAATGATCTGGTTTCTTCAACAAATAAACGTGGGGTAAAAAAAGAGGAAGGGAGTCTCCAGAAACTAAAAAAGACTTAAGAGACATAACAGCCAAATGTAGACCTTGTTTGAATCCTGATCGCAACAAACCACCTATCAAAAAAATAAAACTGACAAGTTTTTGATAACATGAGAAGATTATTTTTAACTGAAGGGAGTACAGTGGTGATATATTATAATTGTGTCTTTTAAAAATCTTCACTTTTTAAGCCAGGTGTGGTAGCATGCACCTGTAGTCCCAGCTAACTGGGAGGCTGAGGCAGAAGGATCACTTGAGTCCAGGAGTTTGAGAGACCAGCCTGGGCAACATAATGAGACCCCATTAAAAAAAAAAAAAGTCTTTACCTTTTAGAGATTCACGCTGAAAGATTTACCTATGAAAACTAAGGTAGCTCAGATTTTTTAAATGATCACAGGTGAGAGTAGGTGGGGGAATTAATGAAATGAACGTGGCCTCCGGTTGCTGTCGCGGGTATGGGTAGATGGCAGTTTCGTACTAAAGGAACACAGGGCCCAGAAACAAAGCCTGATTGTGTCCAGCCAGATCACGGTAAGTACAAGAGAAAGGGAGATGACCAGGTCACGTGTGCAGGTCTGGTGTCAGTGTGAGTGCCCAACCAAAAGGGTCCGACTCTTGGCAACTTGCCATCAGAAAAGGAGAAAAAACCAACCACCCAGTGATGTGATTATGATGGCAGCACTACAGGGCTCTCCCTCATGGCGCTGAGAGCACCGGCATTCGGGAGGAGCTGCGTGGGGACGCAGGAGTCTTTCGGCTCAACGTCAAGTGCTGCCCTCAGGAAGGCGCTAGGTAGCACGAAGAGCAAAAGAAGCTGAGTCATGGTAAGATTCTTCTCACATTCCCATTTGTTCTGCTTAATATTAAAGATTACAAGATGACTTGTACATATTTTAAATGGGGGTGATTGCTGGATACAAGACTCAGAAGTGTTTTGCCAGATTTTTCTTTTTTTAAGAGACAGGGTCTCACTATGTTGTCCAGGCTGGATTGAACTCCTGGGCTCAAGTGATCCTCCTGCTTCAGCTTCTTGTGTAGCTGGGACTACAGGAACATGCCACTGTGCCCGGCCATGTTCTGCCACATATTAAAAACCACCATGGAACTAAACAGTCCAGAGTTTGACTGTATTAACAAAACAAATAATTTATAATAAAAAAGGATTTTTTTTTTTTTTTGAGACAGAGTCTCACTTTGTTGCTCAGGCTACAGTGAGTGCCGTGGCATCAGCCTGGCTCACAGCAACCTCAAACTCCTGGGCTCAAGCGATCTTTCTGCCTCAGCCTCCCAAGTAGCTGGGACTACAGGCATGCGCCACAATGCTCGGCTAATTTTTTCTATATATATTAGTTGGCCAATTAATTTCTTCCTATTTTTATAGTAGAGATAGGGTCTCGCTCTTGCTCAGGCTGGTTTCGAACTCCTCAGCTCAAAGGATCTGCCCGCCTCAGCCTCCCAGAGAGCCAGGATTACAGGCATGAGCCACTGCGCCCGGCTAAAAGGATATTTTTAATATTAAAAAACATATGACAATAACACAAAAAACAACAAATCTACCTTAGGAGCCCCACATCCCTTCTTTAAAAATTTGAACTAGTTTTTAAAGTAATATGTGTACAAAGTAAACAAAAATCTTTTCAAGTGGCCCAGAGATATATTAACCGACAAATAAAATTCTCCATCCCATCTAAGTCTCGTTTCCTCGATAAAACCACCGGTAACACTTCCTGTATCCTTCCAGAAATTTTCTATGTATATGCAAATATATAGATACATACAAATTTATATGTTTTCTAATATGCTTTCTTTATTTTCAGTTACTAATACATCTTGGGCATCCTTTCTCATGAGCACATAGTCACCCTCGTTTTTCAATGCTTGCTGTATGGGCGTGCCTTATTGATTTAACCAGTTCCTAATGATGGGCACTCAGGTTGTTTTCCAGGTGCTGCTATTATGAATGATGCTGCAGTGAAACGACTTGTTTAATGACTTTTCGTGAATCAAACGTTCCGTTCTCACAATGACCCCATGAGGTCATTTACCAAAGAGGAAACTGGCAGGAGGAGGCCCAGGTACTTGCTGGTGTTCCCACAGCCAGTGTGTCCTGGAAGAGCCCAGGCAGGTGGGCGTCAGAGCCTTGCTACTGATGGAGGCGCTACGCTGCCTCTGCTCCTAGTGCAGAGAAGCCAAGGGTCCAAGGGTTCAAATGCCTCTTTCCTCATAGTATTAAACATTCTCATCCTTGACAATATCATAGGTGTAAAAAATGACATTTTGGTTGCTTTAGTTTGCACTTGTTTAATTATGAGAGCATTTTCTTCCATAAGTTTCTTAGTTATTTGTATTTATTTTTCTCCACGATGTCTTTTGTAGGGCATAAGTCTGTGTATTCCAGATATTCTATAACTGATAAAAATACAGTAATTGCTTTATAGTACAACAGTCATTAAATCCTCTCTGTGAAGGAGAAGAAGCTGGTACAGGTACACTGAAGATCAATTTCTCGGTATCTAGTAAAGCTGAAGACATGCGTTGTCTTGTGACCTAGAACTCCACTTCTAAGTCTTACATATGAGCATACGAACTTCCCAGGAATGTCCACAGCAGCACTCTTGCTTTTTCTGTTGCCCAGTAGAGTGCTATGGTGTCAGCCTAGCTCACAGCAACCTCAATCTCCTGGGCTTAAGCGATCCTCTTGCCTCAGTCTCCCAAGTAGCTAGGACTACAGGCATGCACCAACCCATGCAGCTAATTTTTATTATTTTTAGTAGAGACTAGGTCTCACTCTTGCTCAGGCTGGTCTTGAACTCCTGAGCTCAAGCGATCCTCCCGGCTCGGCCTCCCAGAGTGCTAAGCTTACAGGCGTGAGCCACCGCACCCGGCCAGCAGCACTGTTTCTAATAGCAAAAATGAAAACCCTCTCAGTGTCCACCAATAGGAAAATACATAAACTGTCATATACTCATGCAATGGAATACTGAACATAAGAGTAAACTGTTGCCACATATAAAAGCTACTTGCAGAAGGATATGTTCAGTTCATATGTTCAGGCCTCATAAATTAAGAGTAAAAGCCAGTAGAACAATGCTTCTATTGCTTGTGGAAACACACCCACGTACAAGCAGTAAAACAGGCCCAGGAAGTAAGCACAGCTCCAGCTGCAGGAAGAGGGTTACCTCTGGAGAGGGAGGGGTACTCAGGGGTTTCAATCCTATCTGTGATGTTTTCTTTCTTAAGCAGTGGACACGCAGATGACTGCTAAATTGTTTTCCTTACTTTTTTCACTTAAACAAATAAAGAGTTTACCTTATATTCCCAGAGATTTTGGGGGGGCTTCACACCTAGTGCTTTGACACGTTCTAGTTCCATGAGGATAGCTCTTCTGTGGCTGCTGTTTTCTATGATATATGGTGCCCTGGAAAATTCTTCCTCTGTCAAGGTTAAAAGCAATCTGTGGAGGGACGGAGGCAGGAGGAGATTTCTTTTGTGATTATATGTTGCAAGCAAACTTTCCACATTCAGAGCTTTACCTTATTGACTAAATACTTTAGGCTTGTAGTTAAGGTGAGTCATTTAATATGTGCAATGACATTAATAACAGCAAATAATTGAATTGCTTGCTATTTGCCAGGGACTATTTGGAAATGATTTCCATAAATCATCACTGATCCATTTAACAGTTCTGCAGGGAGGGTGGCATTATGCCCCTTTAGTGGATCAGAAAACTGGCTTAGAGAAATAAGGTGACCAAGACACAACCAGGTCTGTTTTGTTCCTAAGCCTTTGATTTTCCCATTACACACATTGACCTTTCACATATTATTCTATTGTTATAAGTGTGTATATATAGAAAAAAATCAGAAGGAAATCAAATAAAACATTATAACATTAAGAGTAGTTGTTTTGGGGTAGAGATTTAAATTAATAAAAATTGCTGGAGACTCCTTATCTGCTTTCCACATCAGAAAACAGTGATTTGCCATTAAAAACGTCACCATATGCTGGCGGAAGCGGAAGAGAGATCGGCAGGCACACGCAACCACTGGCGGAGGAGTGTAAATTAATGGTCCTTTTGTGGATACTTTGGTAATATTTATTCAGGCTGTACAGAGCTATTCCCTTTGGCTCAGCAATTCCAGTTCTAGGAATTTATCCTCTAGGAGACAGTTATGCAAAAATACGTTATAAAAATGAGGTAGAGAATTTTTTAGATCATAAGTTTGAGAGGTGAATTTCTATTAAAAAAATATATTAAAGTGGGAATATTTCTCTTCCCCAAAGGAGAACTCAGTGGAGGGGAGAACTGACTGGAGTGGGAAGGGTGGCAGCTGGGCAGCCCCGCAACAGGTGATCTCATGTCTAAAATAAATGACTTAGCGCGGCTGCTCCCATCACTGTGTGGTGTTCTACGTAACGCCTCCACTCAGGGGGCGGCTATATAAATATATTAATATATATACACATGTATACACATAAACAGAAGTCTGTCTAGTACAATAGTATTTTCAGTTTAAATTAAAAATAATACATTTATATATTATAAATAGGATTATAAAGATATGTCACTTTCAATATCATACAGTTCCATATTATTTAAAAAAAATAAATATGTTAGTTTTATAATAAGAAGGCAAGAAAGAAATTAAAATTTCATTGACATAGCTGCTATGGAAAATAATTTGACAGTCGAAATAGAGTTACATATGACCCAGCCATTCCACTCCAAGACATTACTGAAAATACATGTTCATGCAAAAACTTGCATATGAATGATCATAGCAGTATTATTCATCATAGCCAAAAAGTGGAATCAACCCAAATGTCCATCAACTGATGAATGAATAAAATGTAGCATACCCATACAACAGAATATTATTCAATCATAAAAAGAGTGGAATACTGATACATGCTACATCATGGGTCAGGGGTCCTCAAATTTTTTAAACAGGGGGCCAGTTCACTGTCCCTCAGACCGTTCGAGGGCCGGACTATAGTTTAAAAAAAACTATGAACAAATTCCTATGCACACTGCACATATCTTATTTTGAAGTAAAAAAACAAATGGGCAAAAACACCCGAATGCGGCCCTCAGGCCATAGTTTGAGGACGCCTGTCATGGGTGAACCTTGAAAAAATTATGTGAAATGAAAACGCCAGCCACAAAGGCCACATATTGTATGATTCCATCTATGTGAAATGTCCAGAATAGGCAAATCCATAGAGACAGGAAGTAGAATGGTGTTTGCAGGGGTTGAGGGGGAAATGAGGACTGACTACTGAAGGGTAACAGCTTTCCTGGTGAGTGATGAAAATGTTCTAAAACTAGATGGTGATGGTTGTACGTACTTGTGAATATATTAAAAACCACTGATTATACACTTCAAATGGGTGAATTTTATAGCATGTGGATTATGTCTCAATACAGCCATTTTATAAAATGTCCATGGTGTCAGAAGGCTTTGCTCCTCACCTTCCATTTACTCTTTCAGATAAAAACCTGTCCCTGTAGAGAGAGGCCCAAGGACCCAGCTGCTCCAGCCAGAGGACAACTTCTTCCGCTGTCCATTTGGCCACAGCCTTGTGGACCAGGAGATCATGCTCAGATTCCCTGCTGCTCCAGTGATACACAAGCAGGACCACCTGGGGAAAAGTGACAGGGACCTTAAACATGGAGAGGTGAGAGAAGCCTGTTTCTAAATATGCTAGTGTGGGGCAGGGAAGGGAAAAGGCTGAGCTCAAAGGGAACGATGCTGAGTGTGTACATGGAAGCAGGGCAATGCCACTGCCACGGAGAACCGGGGGGCACAACTGTCCTTGGAACATCTCTCTGACTGCTGGGCAGTGAGGGAACAGAGGTCAGAACAGGACTCATCACAGGGCACCTGGGAGCAGCTACACCCTTGACTTCATTAGCTTGGTCAACATAACTGACTCATGTGCTTTTTTTATTGGAAAAACATTTAGATTTTTGTAGCATAGAACTTAAAAAGAAAATAAGCCTCTACATTGGAAAATAAGCCTCTACGTTGGAAAATAAGCCTCTACATTGGAAAATAAGCCTCTACGTTGGAAGCCTCTACAAGTTAGTGGTGCATACTTAAGATCGACTCATCAAGGCAGACACAGTCTTGAATTCCAGTCCTACCACCTTTCTGCACCTGTTTCCTTAGCTCCATAGGAAGAATAATAATGGTGACAACTGTATAGGTTATCAAGAGGATTAAATAGGATAAAACTAACATTTACTGGGTGCTAACCATTATGTGGTCTACTTGAGTAAGCAACATTCCTGGAGAAATCATACAACCCAGCAGATTTCAATGCAGGTGGTGAATTACATGCAGTCACGTCATCAATTGTTTAGGCGATTTCAAAAGCAACGACTTCAGTGGAAAACAGCAGTAGGGGGATCAGGGCTGGGGTATGCAGAGACATAGCAACAGACTTACTGCCACACCAGTTAAAGCTGTGAGCACTCCGGAAAAGAATCCCCCTCCTCTCTGCTGATTCACTTGGCCTGTGTGAGGAGCTACGGGCATCTGATCATGCCCATATTTTTGAAAGGCTGCAAGACTTTGGACTATGTCATTATTCTGCTGAATGTCTTCAAATCTCATTCTAATGGCATCAGGAAATAGCTTTTCAATGGCATCCCTATGGAGAACAGAGAAAAAAAAAATCACAAGATAGTTGTTTAACTAAATATATTAATACTTATAATGTTTAGAGGCCAAAATAATGGTCAACATTTAATGATATATAGATACCCTAGGTGAACTGACAAGAATATCTGTCATAGTCCTGTTGGTAAAAGCAAAAAATTAGAAACAATCTCATGTCTACTATTTAGGGAAAGAATTAAATATTCATTGAATATTCATTCAATGGAGTACTACATAGATTTCAACAAATTTCCTAGATCAGTATGTGTCAAGATGGATAAATTTAAGACACACATATTGCTGAATGAAAATGGTAACCAGCAGAACCATACGGATAGTATGCCACTGACTGAGAAAATACTTGCATTTTCTATTGGCACACATATGTTTAAAAGTATTTTTTAAAATATTAAAGAAATGACAACTAAGTCATAAGTGAAATTACTTAGAAGAAAAGGAAGGAAGGAAGGATTCTAACATGGAGAAAGAGGGGTCAAAGAGGTCTTCCTTTATCAGTAATGTTCCAATATTCTAAAAAGAATGTAAACAATGAATAGATATATAATATGCATTGCTTAGGTTATTAAAATTAGTTTGTAAAAAGGGGGAAGAGCAAAATTCAGTAGCAAGAGAAAGGCCAACCATCAGGTTACACTATAGGGCTGTTTCCATTTTCAATTATACCCCACCAGAGACCCCTCCTTCAATTTAAGATTAACCTTCAGGTTAAGCAAGCCTGACAGGTAAGAGCAAACTGTAAATACATTTGCTGTGAAAAAGAAACTGTTGGGTTAATGGCTTCATGGAACTTTCTGGTACTCTGTTGATAACTGAGAAGGCTGCACACATTGCTAAGGCAACAGAAGAAGGGACAAGGATTTATGCCTCAAAGACCTTAGAGGCACATTATGACCACCAGGAAGCAGAAAAGAAAGGTAGCTTTATCTGTGTGATGCTATGCATGACAAACTATTCATGTGATAATTGCAACAGAGTTTATAAAAAGATTTTGAAAATCAGCATCACATCAGTTATTCAGAATTATACAGTTATACCATTTTCTCTATTAGACCTAAGGTGTTCTCAGTAAATATTAATACAAATCAATAAAAATCATTATATGACACAGGTTACAAGCAATGGTCTGATAACTAAAATAGATTTTTTTCTGTCACTTATAATAAATAATAAACAAATTATGGGTTGGGCCCAGTGGCTCATGCCTGTAATCCTAGCACTTTGGGAGGCTGAGGTGGGAGGACTGCTGAGGCCAGAAGTTTGAGACTAGCCTGAGCAAGAGCAAGACATCATCTCCACAAAAAATAGCTGGGTGTGGTGGCATGCACCTGTAGTCCCAACTCCTTGGGAGGCTGAGGCAGGAGGATTGCTTGAGCCCAGAAATTTGAGTTTGCTGTGAAGATCACAGAAGAAGGCTGATGCCACTGCACTCTAGCCCGGGTGACCGAGCGAGACCCTGTCTCAAAAAAACAAAACAAATTGTGGTCACCGATGAGGGAGTCTGGATTTTTCAGGCCCCCCATTCTTTTTTTGATTTTCAGGTCCTTGAGCCCCTAATTTATATTCAGGCAGATGCAGAGTGACCACCCAAGAAGTGAGCTCCAAATCTGCAGCCTTTTCAAACACTGCCACTTCCATTAAGAGAGAGCATGTTGTATGAGCCCTGCTACCGATGTGAGTTGAGCATTACCTGAGGAGAATGTTGACTTTGGGGAAACCTTCCCATTTCTCTCTGCATTCCGGACACTCGGTTTTCTTTGAAGACACCCACCACAAAGCGAGGCAGTGCCGGCAGAAGCTGTGCCCACAGTTCAAGGTGGTGGGGTTAACCAGGATGTCGTAGCAGCAGTGGCAAGAAAATTCGCTAACGGAAATCTGAGGCCCAGTGCTTTGCAGAGGGTCATCGTTTTCAAGGCCCATCACGTTCAGATCATTTTTCTGAGGCTCCTCCATCTCTTAAATTCTGGGATCCACAGATATAAATTTCAGACTTATAAAACTGCTGCACAGCATCATTAATCTAGAAAAAAAAGACAGCAATAGAACAAATAGTTGTTTGAAGAGCAGTTAATACAATAATATCGCCATTCTATCAAAGCTCTAATTTTTATATGTGACAAATTCGGTCTATAAAAATCTATAATCCATAAACTAATTAATCATCATTGAATTTCTTTCTTGCCTATTCATTATACTCTTCAAAGTTATTAAAGCAAAATGGTGTAGTGGAAATTTCAATAGATTAGGGGTTAGGGGAAAGAGAATTCTGGATCCTTCCCTTTCACTAACTTCCTTTGAAATTTCTCTGGTCTCAGTGTTTGCAATTTAATTTCTAAAGTTCTTTCTAGGTGTATGATTTTAAAACAACCCAGCTTCCTGGTCTGGCAAAAATGTGTGGGGTTGACAACAACAGACATATACTTCACGTAAGTAACTCATTTGGTCCACACAAATAATTCCCTTTAGGGAATTTGGTTTCAGAGGCTCTAACAGAAGCAATTCCAAGAAGTGAGTGAAGCCTTGTTTTCTGGTGCCCTGTGTCAGGCCAACTCCCCCATATACCTTTTCCCCCTAAATCAACCCAAACGTGTGCATCATGTCCTCTGGATCTGGCCAGTCTGGTGCCACAGGAACATGCTAATGCCATTAATATGTAAATGGTGAAGAACCATTCTCTTCTCATTGTCATTGGGGTCTTAGGAGACTTTTTAAAACGGAGAGGCAATATGGCTGAGAAGACCCTGGAGTTAGAATCTCAACTCCCCAACTCACTAGCTCTATGACTGTGCAGAAGTGACTTGAGCTCTGAGCCCGGTTTCCTCGACTGTGAAACGGTGGTGACCGGTACAAAACCCTTAAAGGCTTCTTGTGAGGATTAGAGACAGTGATGGAAAGTGGCTACACGACGGTGAATGGTGTCAACAGGGGCCAAAGAAACGATTATTCACAACATTTCTGGTGTTATGGTAAGAGTTTCCCAATCTCGCTACCATGAAGGAAAAGAAAGGAAATTGCCCTCTGCCACCCACACCAGCCACGCAGACAGGGGCTCACGCTTTATGCTTTGCATTCGTGTGGTTGAGAACACAAGTCCCAGTGCTGGGCGGCCTGGGTTCTTACTGGCCACTTGCCAGCTGTGTGTCTCCACTTCCTCATGAACAAATGGGGGTATTCGGAGTATTTCCCCATTGGGACGTTTGCACAATTAAGAGAATGCAAGTACAGTGCCTAGTACAGAGCCTGGCATAGGGTTTATTTAAAAATAAACCATACATGGTAGATATTTACTGATTTTTCAAAGCAACGGTAAGAGATTTTTACCACATTTTATAGGGTACAAAATTTTACATAGAGCATGAAAACACTATAATTTAAATAAGTAAACCAGTAATAGAAACTAGAAGGAAAGATAGGGTTGTTTTGAATGAAAATATGTGACTTTATAATTGTAAAAAAAAATACAAGAATTGTAAAAAAAACATTTTGTATTCCTTTTGGCCAAATACCAGTGTTTATTTTCTTCAATTCAGAAAATAAACACAACTAAAATTTAAATTTGGTGTTAAAAGTGGACTAGAGGTTCCTTAGCCAGCACTAAAAAGATAATTAAAGATAAAATATAAATTTAGAAAATAAATGTAATGAACAAATGTATTCAAAGTAAAAGATGATAGTAAAGAGAACAACCTTATGTACGGGCACATTAATAACTCTTGTTTTTGGAAGAGAAAGAGTCTAAATAAATGTTCTCAACAGATTCCAGATTATTTCCAATTCTCAGTCATATTTGCTCATTGTTTATATGTTTAGGGACATTTAAAACATGTGTGAGTGCTTTCCTTCGGGTAGCCTCTTCAGATTGCTAAGGAAGTGGGAGATTTTATGTACGATTTTGAAAACAGAATCCTTTTGATAAAGTAGTTCCTTTATTCCACTAATATTGACAAAACCACCACCACGTGGAGAGCATTATGGTAGGAAATAATAATCACACTGTGAACATTTATTGAGCATCTCCTGTGAGCTGGGCATGGAGCTCTTGATTATATCTGGGTTCAATGTCAGCGGAAAGAAACAGAGCTGTGGGTGAGGGCTGTGCAAGGGCTGGGCCTGGCTGGGGAAATGTCCTGTTTTCACTGAGAGCAGGCGTGACACAGCTGGAGATGAGGCCTGAGACAGGGTTCCAAATGCCAGTTTGATGAGAGGCAGGCAGATGGGATGGGTGCACAGAAAGTTTCAGAGGTGATGAGACCAGCGAGCGGAGCTGGGCTTGTGGATACAAATCTTAACAGGAAGCAGGGATAGGCTGGGAGCAGGGAGAACAATTAGGGCCACTTACTTCTGGGACTAAGGTGACAAAAATGAAAATGTGAAGGGATAAATCTGAGAGATGCTAAGGAAATAATTTATGGGCTCTAGTGACTAGAAAGAATGGTCAAAGATGTTGGCTAGGCTTCAGAACAAGGCAAGAAAAACTGTACTCCTGACAGAAACGGGGTCATTGTAAACAAATTGTGAATTTTAGAAATGTAGGGTTTAAGGTAATAAGACTTCCAAATAGAAATGTCTAGCAGGCAGCTGGAGACACAAAACTATAGTTGGGGATAAGAATGAAGCTAAATGTATGGATTTCAAATTCATTGCAGAAAATTACAAATAATGTATTTTGAAATTAATTTCTCACAAATTAGCCTTTTAAAAACTAGAATACACCAGCGGTTCCTTGCCTACAAGATCAGCAAGTATATTTCTTATGGGAGAAAACAAATCACACGCTAATGTTAAAGGGCATTTTGCAAAGGTGAGGTGACCATTAATTGACTTTGTTTTGTAACTGCCTTTAACAAATTAGAAACTGAGCTTCTTAGGAGTTTTGCTTGTTTCATTTTACCCTAAATTCAAACAGTGGAAGCTAACAGAGAAAGAGTACATATTCTTAAACAAATTCAGTGGATCATTTCTGTTACTTTTGTATCTATTTGGGTTACTTCCACCAATTAAAGAAAGCAGTACTTTTAGAGGATGAAAGTGCCTCTTCAGTGATAAAAATCTAGCTCAGTCACTAAAGTTACAAGCTGTGGTGTTGGGACTTGGGTAAACATACCCACCCCTGCTCTGGCAACTATTAGAGGCCTCTTTGAGAAGGCCTGAGGATGTTTACAGCTGTTCCTGCAGTAGGCTGGAGCCCTGAGAAGCAGCTGGCTGGCTCCTTCTGAGTTCCTTCCCAAGTGAGAATGTGTTAGAAGACTCTCTGCTACTGTTCTTTTCACCTGTTTCCCCCTCGTGTCAAAGGTCTTGAAGACAACAGGTGGGGATGTGGGCAGGATGGAGTGTCATGAGGAGAACTATTCTATTCTTACCCCTAGTTCTCTGTTCACATGGATACACTTCTGTTTATGAAATTACAAGAGTTAATTACCTAGTTCAAAACCAATGGGAAGAATGCATGAGCTTGAGGAAATCGACAAAACAGCAAATAGTAACAAGTTCATGGCCAGGCCCAGTGGCTCATGCCTATCATTTTACCACTTTGGGAGGCTGACTTAGGAGGATCACTTTAGGCCAGGAGTTTGAGACCAGCCTGGGCAACACAGTGAGACACCCATCTCTAACCCCCTTCCCCCACAAAAAAATCAGCTGGGTGTGGTGGTGTGCCTATAGTCCCAGCTATTTGGGAGGGTGAGGCAGGAGGCTCCCTTGAGCCCAAGAGTTTGTGGTTGCAGTGAGCCTTGGTGATGCCACTGCACTCTGCCTTGGACAGCAGAGCCCTACCTCAAAAAAAAAAAAATAAAAAATAAAAAAAAATATATATATATATATGATAGGTTGAACAGTACAGCAAAACTTTAGGAGTTCCCACAGGTACTGAGTCATTCTGAAGAGCTGTTCCTGAACAAAAGTTGGGTTTTCAAATGAAACTCAGAAAAGTGTGCAGGAGGACTGAATTCCACATCAAGCTTGAGTCTGTGCATGGTACGCGTATTTCCCTGCAAGGCAGTCTAGAGTGTTTATCAGGCTCTCTCAGAGGGGACCAAGACCTGGAGGAGGTTAAGAACTACTGTTTATCCACTGGGATAAAAGGTTCTTAATAGAATACACCTGTACGCCTCTTGCAGTGGTTTTTACAAACTAGGTGAGCCCACCAAGGTAATGCAGCTTTAACACCATGAGCACCCATCCTTCTTGTCCCCGGCCAGTCACCACCAGCAGCCACCGCCCTACTAAGGCAACATCTAACCTGCAGGCAGGCTTTCTTTCTTTTTAAATTGAATTTTGTGCCAGCATTTTAAAAAATCTATTTTTACATAAAATCCTAGATTTCTGGCTTCTCTTTTAAAAAAAAAAATATCTAGATCTGGCAACACTGGGATCTAATTTTTCACCTACAGTTGGCTCTGGCCCTCTCCCACTTGTTCTCAGTTTTGTTACTTGTCTCACCCCAGAGTTCTCATCTCTTGTCCCATGTGATGCCTTCTGAGTCTAATGATGGGTGTATGGTGGATTCTGGGCTAACTGGCCTTAGGCTAGTCAGCTTTTGGAGTTGTCAGCTTATAGATTTCCTCTCTCTCTCTCTCTCTCTTTTTTTTTTTTTTTTTGAGACAGTATCTCAGTCTGTCACCCCAGCTGGAGTGCAGTGGCATCACTGTAATCTAACTCCTGGTCTCAAGCAATCCTCCTGCCTCAGCTTCCCGAGTAGCTGGGACTATAGGTATGCAACCACACCCTGTTTGTTTTCTATTTTCTGTAGAGACAGGGTCGTCTTATGTTGTCCAGGATGGTCTTATACTCCTGGCTTTAAGTGATTCTCCTGCATGGCCTCCCAAAGTGCTGGGATTACAGGTGTGAGCCACCACACTGCCAGCTTTCTTCACTCTTGACTTGCTATCAGGTTGCTATCTATTGTTGTTGGCATAATTAACAGGAAACAATTATCATAATCTCTGATGATCTGGGCAATTCCAAGATATCTAATCAACATGACCTTTTCTATGTTTGCCCAAGAAGATATCCCTAACTGATCTACTATGGTAACCTGAAAATCTGTGAAAGAACAGAAAGGGCTGGGATACATGCAATCTCCCAATAATGCTGTATAAATAAAGAATACAGCATGAACTTGGCTATTCCTCCCTTGGAAGGAAGATGTTTGTCCAACTGGGTGAGTGCTTACCTATGGCTTTATCCAGGGGGCTACTACCCAGGAGGTGATAGCACTACTGTTACCTATTTCCTTCTGTAGTCAGATACCCAACTAAAATTTAGGAAACTCAGTTAATACAATAACTTTTATTGAGTTTATCCAAAACAAATGCATTAATTCTGAGTTTAAGTAGCTAGCTTATAAAGATCTCACTATATAATGATTAACTCTTAAGAAATTGTAATTTTTAAACTGCTTGGCTCAGTGGCATATGATTATGGTCTACCTCTTTATTCAACATACATCTATTTTGACTGTATTCTGCCTAATATTTTAGGAATCCTTCTAAGGGCTAATTTATTGGGGTTCCAGCCTGAAAAATATGATTCCAATCATTTCTTAGCAAGGATATTCAGTGTAAGAATAGAAAGATTTCAGCTTCTTTGGGCCTCTGGTTAGGCTATTTCCTCTCATTGCATAATACCTGACAACAAAGAATCATCACAACTGCTAATATTTACTGAGCCTTTGTAATGTGAAACACACAACAATCCTATGGGATAAGTATTACTATTATCTCCATTTCAAAGATGAGAAAATGGAGGCCTAATAGGTAAAGGGCAGAGCCAGGTTTTTTTTTTTTTTTTTTGAGACAGAGTCTCGCTTTGTTGCCCAGGCTAGAGTGAGTGCCATGGCGTCAGCCTAGCTCACAGCAACCTCAAACTCCTGGCTCAAGCAATCCTGCTGCCTCAGCCTCCCAAGTAGCTGGGACTACAGGCATTCGCCACCATGCCCGGCTAATTTTTGGTATATATATTAGTTGGCCAAGTAATTTCTTTCTATTTATAGTAGAGACGGGGTCTCACTCTTGCTCAGGCTGGTTTCGAACTCCTGACCTTGAGCAATCCGCCCGCCTCAGCCTCCCAGAGAGCTAGGATTACAGGCCAGAGCCAGGTTTTAAATCATGGTCTGACTTAAAGCCTGTCTGAGTAACACTTCATTATCCCAATACAGTAATCAATAACAGTTATTAGTTCAAAGGATCGATTTACTCTTTTATCATCTAGGCCACATCACAGAGCTGCTACTGCACAGCTGAGAAAAACAAACCAGAGAAAACAAACTAGAATGTAACAACACTGCATTTTGGAACATGAACTCCAGCTGGCAGCTGCTAGAGTGAGTATGCTGTTCTACGCAGAAATTTTACAATAGAATCGGGCAAGTTCTGTGAAGGGGAAGAAAAAAAGAAGGGAGAAAAAGAAAAAAAAAATGAAAAACAGGGGTAAGGGATGGGTGAGGAAACCCCTAGCTCTGCCACCCCAGGTCCACTCCTGGGGACAAATACTGGCAGAACACTACAGATATTATTAAATGTCCAAAGTGTGTCCACCTATTTATGGTGACTATAAAATAAAAATAAATGTGCCCAAATGTAAACAAGGCAAGGGTCAGAAATGGCAATGAGGACAAAATATTATGTGTACTTCCTGCAGGTGGCAAAAACTGGCTCTTCCATTAACATGAGTAGCATTTCTAGTTGCTTACTGTGTAAAACCTTGTGTTTTTCTGACTCCAGATAGATTTTCTTTCTGGAGAGGGTCAAAAATCAGTAGGGCAAATGTAGTGAGCTCCTTTGGGTGTTGACTTGCTGCCTAAACTTTGTAGTCCCATGATTTATTGTCTTCCGTGGAAGTGTTGGGCAAGATGAGAGCAGGCTCAGAAAGAGATCCTGGCTCTCTCAGACCCTGTCCTCTTTCATTTCTGTTATGTAGCCTATATTCAAGGACCTATCCTGTACTCAACCCTGCAGATGTTCAACAACTCAGAAAGCTATGAAAAGCTGCTAGAGGTTACTAAGTAACCCATACCTTAACTATTGGTTTCAAAATATTCTGTATGACTCCTATTATAAACATGTCCTTTTCAGATTCAGCTCACTCTCATACTTTTTACACACTACTGTTTTGGTTGTGTCTTTGCTTCGCCCATCAGATCTTGAGCTCTCTGAGGTCAGAAAACAAGCCACTACATTTTATCACCATACCTCAGAGTGACCGGCACAAAGCTGAGCTCTAGGTATTTGTAGATGAAAGCCAAATCGACAAATACTTGACTCCCCCACCAAAATCACCTGGTAAACTTCAGCCAGGATGTCTGGGAGAGAGGCTCAGGAATATACATTTTAAACAAGCCCTTCAAGAGATTCTTATGCACACAGACATTTGGGAACCAGAGAGAGAGAGAGCTGTTACATACAAATAAACACTGACATGCCTAAATACATATCTCAGAAAAGGTATGAATATGTGTGAACAAAAAAAGTTTAAATAACACTTTCAATTCTCTTCTTGCCAATCCCTCCTCTCTCCATTGCCTGAAACATCCTCCTAGAACAAAATTCTCATTAAGCCCCTCCTTTGCTCAAGTTACCTACTACAAGAAAATAAAGCCCATAGTTGAAAGCTGGCCATTGAATTTTTATTTTAGCAATCAACATGACTTTTAACTTAGAGCACAAACTCTAGAGCCAGAATGAATGAGTTAAAATCTCAGCTCAACCAGTTGTTAGCTGCATGACCTCCGGAGAGAGTCACTTTCTGTGCCTCTGTTGCTTCACCTGTAAAATGGGGATATTAATAGTGCCTGCCTGATAGGATAGTTGAAAGGATTAGATGAAGTTAATATATGCTGAGCATTCAGAACAGTGCCTGGCACACAGTAAGTGCCATGTAAGTATTAGCTATTAGTATTATTATGATTGTTCCCTACTACTCCTCTGCTGACACAGGAGACTACACGGTAGTCTCATTTATTAATTCCTGCTCCTTGGGCATATTTCCACATCCTTATGTTGTTCTCTCCATCTATAACACGGCTTCACAACATTTCTGAGTCAAAAGTATCCAACTGACAAGATTCAAATCAATTGTCACTTGAAAGTCTAACTCCCTCCCACCCAAATTAATCTTCCCTGCCTCTGTGCATTAGTGTAACTTTTATTTGTGTAAATTTTCTCATCTCCTGGACTATAATTTCTCTGCAGAGGATGGTAGAGTTGGAACAGTATGGTTTTAAGAGTGGGACTGATTCCTAGATCTATACAAGGAAGAGAAAAAAAAAAAAAAGAATGAGACTGATCTGGGTTCCAAACCTGGTCACCATTTATTCTCCCTGAGCCTAATAGCCTCATATTTCCCATTTATCAGTCTAGGATAATAATATCAACTTCGAAGGGCTGTTGGGAGGTTTAAATGACAAACTTTATCCATAAATACTCAAAAAGAGTTTGTTGTATGGTCGACTGGTATTATTAGAATTATTAATGGTGGCATTTACTGAATGGTGGCTGTCTAATTAATGCCACTGCCAAACGCTGTTGGCACTCACCTGTAAAATGGGGATATTAAAAAAGAACTGCCTTGGAGAAATACAGTTTTTCCATCAAGTTTATGAAGATACACCGGAAAATGCAAAACACTTCGGTCAGGATACACTCAGGATGGCTGTTTACAAAGCATCAGTGACAGGAAGAAACAAAACAACCCTACCAGCACGTGCAGTCTGCGCTGCCTCTGGGGTGTGCCCCGGGTAGAGAGCAAAGCTCCTTTCCTATTGGCCTTTCGGAGCGTGACATCAAGACCACCCCCAAAGGACCAACCAATGAGCTTCAGCGGGGAGGACAGAACGGCGACAGTTGAGAGCATGACAGCCTCTAGGCTATCACTTCACCAAAGTTGGGGGGCTGCCTCCTGCCCCTCCAAATATCCTCAAATAGACATAACCTGACTCCCATTTGCCTCCCTCTCTTTTAATAAAAGAGAACTCCTTTTTGCACAAGTTCGGATTTCTGAGCAGTGAGGCTCGGAATCAGAAGAGCCCATCCCAGGTGTGACTTCGGGGTTTCACTTTCTCCTTTCTGCGCTTCCGTAACCCTATTTTAAAATGGGGGAACAATCATTCCGCCTTGGGGCAGGAGGGTGCCTCGCTAGATTGCAAGCTCAGCCTGGCGGCTATCAGGAACCCGAGCAATTCTGTCTGAGCTGCTGCAGATGTGGCAAGCGCTCCTGGCGGGCAGGCGCCCGGTTGTCCCCCTCTAAAATGTATGGAAGCGACGTCCCCTCCATCCCGCCCTAGGGAGCCCCTAGAGCAAGCGGCTCTGACCCTGACACCCCCCAAAAAGACGCAGGCGAGGCCCAGCGACCGGCTCTGCCGACGTGGGGCTCTCGAGAAGGGATGGGGAAGTTGGCCAAGCTGGATCCGCACCCCGCGGCCAGGACTGATGCAGATCAGGACCCCGGCCTGGGCGAGGAAAAGGCCCGCGCGCCTCCTCCAACCCCGCCAAAGGGGATCGGCCAAGTGGATTCCGGCTCCGTCTTCCACACCACGCCCCGAAATCACGCCTGGGCCGCTCCCTCACCACCCCCCGCCGTGCTGTGGCTTACCATTTCACTCGTCCCGGGGCCAACCCGGCCATCGCACCCCCCACCCGGACCCCCGTAGAAGCAGAGGAAGAAGTAAAGGCCTCACTTCCGGAAGTAACTTGGGACAGACTGCGGAGGAGAATGTCTCCAGCCCTCAACCATAGAGGAGAAGCCGCACTCGTTTCTCAATCCCCTTAACCCCTCGACCTCCCCGCTGCCTAGAGCGGCCACTCCCCGGCGGAGGAATAGGCGCATGCGTGCCACCGCCGGTCCCGCCCCTTCCTCTTGGCTGACCGAGGGCCGGCGCCCAGGAGTTACGCCCTGGGGCAACCGAGGGTGTGTGCGTGTACTCCTGCTGGGCGGCTGTTTCTGTATCTGGAGGTTACAGCTTTGCCCAGCAATTAAAGTAATATTTAAGACCGCACTGTACTCACCACAGTTTGGTTTTTTGCATTCATTTTGTGCAGAAAATCACAGGACCGTGGCTAAAAAGTACCATTTGTTAGGAAGGATCCACCGGTCGGGGTAGCTCACGCCTTTAATCCCAACACTTTGGGAGGCTGAGGGGTTGAGACTAGCCTGAGCAACATAGCGAGACCCCATGTCTACAAAAGATTAAAAAAAAAAAAAAATTAGTCGAGCGTGGTGGCTATAGTCCCAGCTACTGGGAAAGCTGAGAATGACCTGAGGCCAGGAGTTTGAGGTTGCAGTGAGCTATGATGAGGCTAGCTCTGGAGACAGTGCGAATCTGCCTCAAGAAAAAAAATCAGAATTAAAATGACCTTATCCCCACGTTTTTCCCCCCAGCATGTTGGTCTTTTGAGAACTCTTGCTGATTATCTGTTTTAAATCGCTGGCCTGGAGATTGCTAAAGTGCTGATTTAATATGACCTTTTCTACCAATCAAATTGGCCAAGATTAAAAATACTGGTAATCGTTTACCAATCTCCCTACTGGCTCAGGCAGTGTATGAACTCAAGTTTCTGGAGGATAATCTGGCAATAAGAATAAGCATTTTTTAAAGTTGTGGTAGAAGACACATAAAAATTTACCATTTTAACCATTTTTAAGTATACAATTCAGTGGTGTTAAGTATATTTACATAGTTGTACAACCATCACCACTATTATGCATCTCCAGGACTTTTTCATCTCACCAAACTGTAACTCCATTCCCCTTAAACACTTTTTATACAAATTTATTTATACTGTATTTTACACTGCACGCACATTATCACCACTGATCCTCAACACAACCGAGGAAATTGAGATGTAGGAAGGTTTAATACCGTTCTGGAGCTCAATGGCTGAATTAGGCTTTGAAAACAGGCCTTCCAACCAACTTCATGATCTTTTATGAAAGACCAAAGTGAATCCATTCACTCAACCCATGCTTACTGAGCGTCTACTACCTGTCAGCCCCGTGCTAGGCTTTGGGTATCAACGGCAACCCCAAACCAACACGCAGCTCCTTTATGGAAAGACCTCACATGTTGCGTTCGCCATAGTATTCCCAGTGGTTAGTGCAGTAGATAAAGGTCTCGGCTTTGCTTTTCCTGCTCGCTAGGTAGCAACCCCCATTATTCCCTATTACAGCACCCTGCTCTTTTTCTTCGTAGCAATTATCACATGTCTTCAAATGGCAAGTCTGATTCTACCCAGAGCTTCCCCTCTTTCCCCAAGTTTAAGCTACGATGGGGCAGGGACCATGTCCTGCTGTTCATCATTGTATCCCTATCCCTATCAGAGTGGCCAACACATAATAGGAACCCAGTAAATATTTGCTGATCGACTAACGTCAGAACACGCATTATTTCTTCTAAAGGGGACACCCGCACACATTAGGCCACGCCTTGGGCACTTCGATAACCACGCCCCTCCTCTGTCTCGGGGAGGAGTGAAAGGCGCCCAGCTTTGGCCCCGCCCCCGACGCTGACGCAAGCGCTGACGCAAGCACAGCGGGCGCGCGCTGTTTCCGGAAGTCGCCGCCGCCGCGGTGTCCGCTGCTGCTGCTGCTGCTGCTGCGTCTGCTGCCGCCGCGGCCGCCGCGGAACTCTGCGAGTGGAACGGCCGAGGCTGGCCCGGGCGGGGCCGGGGTTCCGGCCACTCTGCAGAATGGAGATAATCAGGAGCAGTGCGTGTCCGCCGTGCACCTCCCCGCGTCCCCACCCCTCCACCCAGGCCCGCTAGGCCCAGACCACGGCCGGCACGTTTGGCTGTGCCAGGGGCTGAGGCAGCGCCTCAGGGCTTTGGCCCCTGCTTAAGCCCGTGTGCCTCTTTGGGCCTTGTCTCGCTGCGGACCGTGCACTCTTAGGGGCCTTGTCGTCGTCCGGCCCGGGCACCATCCGGGCCTTGTCCCTGTCCGGGCACTGCAGCCCTCGGGGCTTGTCCTGCTCTGGCCCATGCGCCCTTTGGGGACTTGACCCCGTGCGGCCGGTGTACACCCCTGGGACTTGTCCCCACCACCCTCCGGCCTTCTGCCTCGGGAGCTCCTCGGCCCACCTTCCTTCTCCCCTTATGAGCCAATGGGCAGGAATTCAGGCCACTGGTTCTGAGCCTCTTCTCGGTTTCTCCGCAGATTTTAAGAGTAATCTTCACAAAGTGTACCAGGCCATAGAGGAGGCAGACTTCTTCGCCATCGATGGGGAGTTTTCAGGTATCCCTTCTTTGGAAGCTCAGGGCTAGCACCAGCAATGCATAGCCAGGGCTCTTGCAGTCCCCCAGCCTGCCCGCTCCTCATGCCTGATGGCAGCTCCTCACTGTTTGGAGCCTTGGGCGGGTTGCACATGTCTCGACATTTCCTCTTAAACGTTTCAAAAGCACAGAAGAGGTGAAGAGATGCGGTGGATTTGTTATTGTACTTTGAGGACTGCAGATAGGGATTATGGTTTTGGTGCTGCTTAGAACAGTTAGACATGTACATGGAGGAAAGCATGAGGGGCAGGGTCAAGTTTTTTTATTTTTCTTTTGTGATAAAATATATGTAGCATAACATTTACCGTTTTAACCATTTTTAAGTGGTTTTACAGTTCAGTGGCATTAAGTACACTCACGTTGCGGTACTACCGTCACCATCCATCTGTAGAGCTTTTTCATCTTTCCAAACTGAAACTCCATACGCATTGAACCCTCCCATTCCTCCCTTCTTGAAGCGTCTGGCAACCACCGTTTGTCTTTATGAATTTGACTACTCTAGACAATGTATCTGGATATACATGGAATCATTAAATATTTGTCCTTCTGTAACTGGCTAGAGTGAGACTTTTGCAGGTAAATGAGGATATTCCCTTATTTATTAGGGGAAGTGTTCATTGCCTACCCGAGCAGGTGTGTTAGTGTGTGTTATACTGTACCAACACTTACAGTTGCAGGGTTTTTTCTTTTTCCTTCTTTTCCAGGGGGAGCAAAGACTAATTTTTAAATGGTTGACATCAGTATGAATAGTTTACTGTCTTTGGTATAAATATCCACTTTTGCTATATGATTTTACATGTTTAAAAAATCCTAGCTCTTTCTAAAGGAATCCATGTTGGGGTAAATGTGGTCATTGGCTTTTTGTATGCAGTTACTAGTTGGAGTCAATTCCTTAGGAGGCTGAAATAATTTTTTCTTGACCTTGAAAATACTTGTGTCTTATAGCTGTTACTCCAAGCTATTGACCAAGACCGGTACCCTAGAAATAAGGATTCCTTGATGTCTGATTATGCATTATTCCTTTAGAAAGCAGCAAAACTTAGTCAAGCATATAGGTTGTTTTCTTAAATGATTACTTTGCTTTAAAATTCATTTTAGACACTGGAACTGCTCATTCTCAAGTTGAAATAGTTACATCTCCAAATTCATTATTAGAGAGTTTAGCTTGGTGGCCAGTGAAATTAATGCTAATTTTGAAAAAGTGAGATAGGGAGTACTTCCAATTAATCTTAATTCATGATGTGAAATTATGGAAGCATTGAATGGTTGACTGACATTTATTAGTAAGTTAAAAACTTTTATTTCTTAACATCTAGGAATCAGTGATGGACCTTCAGTCACTGCATTAACAAATGGTTTTGACACTCCTGAAGAAAGGTATCAGAAGCTTAAAAAGGCAAGTGGATATGCTGGAAAACCTTTTTCTTCCTCATGTTGGTCTTCTTTATGTTAAATTATTGAGAAATATAATTATTAAACTTGGACGTTAAGGTTTTCTAAGTGCAGCACCTCTTCTCAAAATCAGCCACTAAGTGACATTTTAGTGATATTTAAAACAGCAAAAATAATTGTTTGCTGGAAAACATTCTGGGAAAAGTTTAGTATTCAATGTTAATTTGATTTATAGGAAATAAGATGTGACTATTTTAATCATTTGGAAAATAGGCATGATATGATACTCTGGATGATGGATAGGTACTTAATTGGGAAAAATATTAAGTGTATATAAATTAATAATGCTTCTGATAACATAATGTATAATCAGTTCTAATCGGGAGCATTCTGCCAACTTCAAGTTGAGTAATCCAGAAAGCCCGCCTGTTTGAGAATACTTTTGCTCACGTTGAATATGCTGCACTATCATGACAGATGTTTTATTTCCCTTTTCCAGCATTCCATGGACTTTTTGCTGTTTCAGTTTGGCCTTTGCACTTTTAAGTATGACTACACAGATTCAAAGTAGGTTGTTCTGATAAACGGTGGGAATTCTTTTCTTGTGGCATGATGTAACCCCCTAAGTCTCCTTTTATTTTATTTTCCCAGGTATATAATGAAGTCATTTAACTTCTATGTTTTCCCAAAACCCTTCAATAGATCGTCACCAGATGTCAAGTTTGTTTGTCAGGTTAGTAGCATAATTGATCTTTTATGGATTGCCTACGAGGCAGCATGAAAATATGGAATCTGAATTCCTTTTACAGTTTGGTTCTACCACTAATGTTGGGCTTAGGGCAAATCATTTCACCCTCTGACCTTTGGTTTTGGGATTATAAATTAATGATACTATAATCTTACCCATTGCTTCAGAATAAGGAATAAGATGCCAAGATAGATGGAAATCAGAACATGAGCTTTATTGTTAATAAAGCTGAATTTGAGAATGTGGTTTTCTAACTCTATTTGAGATTTTTAGTATATTACCCCCAAATTGAACTTACACATCAGGACTTGCAGGCTTCTCCCTATCCCATTCTCCATGCACCCACTCCAAGGGCAGAGCTTTATATACAGGAAGAGCAGAGTATATGTGTATCCTATCCAAAAAGAGAGAGC